CTCCAAAATACATCATCTCAACATATAACAATAAAAAATATATTAGTACAAAAAAGGGATATAAAACATCTCATTAAGTCTCTGAAATCCAGTATGCACTTCACACTTAACAGCACAACTCAGTTCGATATAGCCACATTTCAAGTGTTCAAACGCCATGTGGGGCTGCAGCCACCTCTCCCCAAAGGTGGAGAAGCTCATGTGCAGAAGCCAAACATTCTCCAAGACTCCATCTGGAATAATGAACAAAAAGACACTTGCAGATTCAGTGTGCAGCAGGGATGAAAACACGGGAGGCCATCCTTAAACCACCCAGGTTAAGCCTGTCCTCCGCTGCTTCTATAGCATTTTGTTTCTCTCAACAGTAATTATCAAAGTGTGCAACCGCTTGTCTTCCTTAAACCAGAACGCACAGACTTCCGTAACTATGAGCCAGGCACCAGGTCTGCTTTGTCTGGCTCCCAGTCCAGAAGCTGGCACACAGAGGCACTAAATATTTGTTACAAAAATGAACAAATAGGGCGGGTATATATACATACATAATGAGTGAGATGCGCACCATCTGGGGGATGGTCACGCTGGAAACTTAGACTTGTGGGGGGGAAGGGCATTTATTGAAACCTTAAAATTTGTACCCTCATAATATGCCGAAATAAAAAAAAAAAAAAGGAACAAACAGGCCGAGAGTGGTGGCTCGCTGGAGGTCAGGAGTTTAAAACCAGCCTGAGCAAGAGCGAGACCCTATCTCTACTATAAATAGAAAGAAATCAATTGGCCAACTAATATATATAGAAAAAATTAGCCGGGCATGGTGGTGCATGCCTGCAGTCCCAGCTACTCGGGAGGCTGAGGCAGTAGGTTTGCTTGAGCCCAGGAGTTTGAGGTTGCTGTGAGCTAGGCTGACGCCACAGCACTCACTCTAGCCTGGGCAACAAAGCGAGACTCTGTCTCAAAAAAAAATGAACAAAGGAACATATGAATGAATAAATGGTTCCTGTCTACACAAGAATTCACACTGGGCCACAAAAAATCAGTTAAGTAAATAAATAAATAAAATCACAAGCCGATTTTGGTCTCTTCTCCATTTGCATCAGTTATACAACATTTACCAATCACTTAAAATGTGCCAGGCAATATTCACAGTGTTGGGAAACTAATAAAGCTAAATAAACTCCTAGCTTTGAAGAGTTTAGTCTAGCCATTGAAACAAACAAAAATTAAAATACAAAATAAATGCTACAACAAATGACAAGGTGCTCTGTGACTATGAAGGCCCGGGACATCACTACTAGTATACGCTGCTGTAGACTTTATCAACACTGTACACTTAGTCTACACTAAATTTATTTAAAAATTCCTGGTTTTAAATAAAACTTATAGGCCGGGCACGGTGGCTCACGCCTGTAATCCTAGCACTCTGGGAGGCTGAGGCGGGCGGATTGCTCGAGGTCAGGAGTTCGAAACCAGCAAGAGTGAGACCCCGTCTCTACTATAAATAGAAAGAAATTAATTGGCCAACTAATATATATAGAAAAAATTAGCCGGGCATGGTGGCACATGCCTGTAGTCCCAGCTACTCGGGAGGCTGAGGCAGCACGATTGATTGAGCCCAGGAGTTTGAGGTTGCTGTGAGCTAGGCTGACGCCACGGCACTCACTCTAGCTTGGGCAACAAAGCGAGACTCTGCCTCAAAAGATTAGATAGATAGATAGATAGATAGATAGATAGATAGATAGATAGATAGATAGATAGATAGATAGATAGATAGATAGATATAGATAGATAGATAGATAGATAGAACTTACATAAATTTTTCAAAAGTTACATGGAACTCAAATTCCACTTTCCATATATAAAGTTTTGCTTTGGTTCTTCTTTCTTTTTTCTTTTCTTGAGACAGTCTTGCTCTGTTACCCTGAGTAGAGTGCGGTGGCGTCATCATAGCTCACTGCAGCTTCCAACCCCTGGGCTCAAGTGATTCTCCTGCCTCAGCCTACAGAGTAGCTGGAACTACAGGTGCACATGGACCACATCCAGCTAATTTTTCTTATTCTTTGTAGAGATGGGGATCTCACTATTGCCCAGGCTGGTCTCAAACTCCTGGGCTCAAACGATCCTCCCATCTCAGCCTCCCAAAGTGCCAGGATTACAAGTGTGAGCCACCTCGCCCAGCCCATACATAAAGTTCTACTTGCACACGACCCCTGCCCCCTGCCTTGCTTATGTACTGCCTATGGCTGCTTTTGTGCGACCAGAAAGCTGAGCAGCTGCATAGAGACCACGTGTGGGACTCTCAGCAGTGCAGGGAGCGGCACCCTATCACGACACCACCATGGCCACCTTTTCTGTCATTACTGTAAGTAATGACACACCCATCTGTAAGTAATGCACACCCATCATGTCAAAACAAGAAGAGAACTTTTCATCTACACTGCAATTACTGTGCTCCTGGATCATGTGGCAAAGCACCATATTTACCATGCAATGACGCTTTAGACAGGGTAAAACAATATACACCTACACTACAGATGAAGCACTCTTCACAAAGCTCCCAACTCACAGGAAAGCAACAGCCGAAAAAGTCAAAAGAATTTCAAGAAACTCAACAAATCCAAGTAAGATAAACTCACAGAGATTCACCCCAGACACATCATGACTAACCTGCTGAAAGTCAAAGAGAATCTCGACAGCAGCCAGGGAGAAGTAACTACGCACAAGGGATCCTCTGTCCGATTAGCAGCCACCGTCTCAGAAACCAAGGAGGCCAGAGGCCCTGGACAACACATCCAAAGTGTTGAAAGAAACAGACTGTCAATCGATAATTCCTGACACACCAAAACTATCTTCATAAATAGAGAAAAAATTTAAAACATTCTAAGACAAACAAAAGCAGAGAGTTAATCACTGAAAGATTTACCCTACAAGAAATATTAAGAGAGTCCTTCAAGCTAAACGAAAGCACACTAGACAGTGGATCCAACCCACATGAAGAAATAAAGAACATCGGTAAATCAGCTCTACAGGTAAATACAAAAGACAGTATAAATGATTTTTTACTTATAACTTCTTTTCTATATGATTTAAAAGATAACTACACAAAGCAATAATTGCAAATCTATATAGATGGACAATGTAATGTAATTTGTATGACAATAACGGCATGATAAAGGCGAAAGAAATGGAGCTATATACAAGCAAATATTTTCTGTACTACTGCAATTAAATTGATATTAATTCAAACTACATTAGGCTGGGCATGATGGCTCACACCTGTAATTCCAGCATTTTGGGAGGTTGAGGTGGGAGCTCAGCCAGGATTGCGAGAACAGCTTGACCAATATAGTGAAACCCTATCTCTACAAAAAAATTTTTTAAAAAAAGTAGCCAGGTGTAGTGGTAAGCACTTGTTGCCCCAGCTACTTGGGAAGCTGTGGCAGGAGGATCACTTGAGCCCAGGAGTTCAAGGCTACAGTGAGCTATGATTGCACCACTACACTCTAGCCTGGGTGACAGAACAAGACTCTGTCTCTAAAAATAAAAAACAAACACCTACATTATAATAAATTAAATATTCAATCATAATCCCCAAGATAATAAAAAAAATTTTAAGTATAGTCAAATAAACAACAAGGGAATTAAAATGATAAAGTAGAAAACATCCATTTAACAGAAAAGAAGAAAGTAATAGAGGAAGACAGGAACATAAATAGACAAAAGATATACACAAAGCAAATACCAAACTGGCAAGTGTAAATACTGCCTTTTCAGTAACTACATTAAATGTAAATGGATTAAATGTTCCAATTAAAAAGCAGGCGCTGGGTAAATGGATAAAAAAAAAATGATCTGGACTCTCCTGGGGTTTTTTTCTCACCCTCCTCCAAGCCTGAGGGGTCTGGAAGTGACAGCACCTGCAAGACTCCAGCAGGAGGAGCAGCAGCACGTGAGGCAGCTTGGACAAGGACGACCTTCATCCACCTCCTCCTGCATCTTCTAACAGTGAATGCAGAGTCGAACGAAGGATTTGAAGTTGTGCTTTCACTGTGTGTGTGTGTTTTTTTTTTCCCGGCATATTATGGGGGTACAGATTTTAAGGTTTCAATAAATGCCCATTTCCCCCCTCCCCCCTCACTGTGTTTTTATCTCAGCATACTTTCCGTTTTGAAATTGCTTAAAGTTTTAAATGTCTGCCTTCAGTTTTGTGTGTGTCTTAGAAACAAACAGTAGAGCTAGGACGTGAGGTAGAGCTCCTCCCAATCACCAAGCTTCAGTCAAACATCTCAACCATTACCGGCACCTCAAGGCCTTGTGTTAAGGCTACAGACGGAGGAGAGGACAAAGACCCTACGTAACAAGCTTACAGCCCATTACACAAACTAACATCCAGGGAATCAACTATTTCATTCCATTTTTTGAATAGTTATGGTACTGTTTATTTTTATAGAGACAGTGTTAACAATTCCAAATTTATTTAGGACTGCCCTGTGGTGGCATATCTCAAAGTCTTCAGTCCTAACTGCAAAGGAGAGTGAACATGGGATCTCTGGGGCCATTGGCTGAAGCAGTTAAAAACCTGAAATCCCTTTTCATATGCAACCAGTGTTATCAATTCTTTTGCATATTCTAGAGATATGAGATATTCTTTCCTTTTCAAAATATATATATGTGATATATATGTTTATCCATGTAAGTATGTATATGCCTCCAATAAATAGATCAGTGTTTAATATCCTCCTCCTCAACTCCAAAACCTTTAAGTAAAATCAGCACATTAGGAAAATGCACAATGTTTATCTGGTATCATTTGCATGCTTCCTAACACAGAACTTCAGCTATAATCATACCTCAGTTTAAAATGCACAGCCTTTTCTCAATAAATGCATTTCATCTTGGCTTGATACATTTTTTTGTAGGGAGGGCAAGGTATTACCCTTGTACTACAGCAAATCCCATCCCCTTTACCTGATTACACTTGGGTTTATTTCTTACAGTTAGTTAGGTAGTTGTGTAAAGTGAATTTTGAGGGGAAAAAAACCTGTTAATCCTTAAAAGACAATGAGATTCATGTTAGTTATATCTCTGGAGTGGGCTTTTTTTTCCCCCTGAATTACTCTTTTGGAGTGTCCTTTCTGAAAAGTAACATACAGTAAAAGCCATTCCCAAATCTAATGTTACCCAGTTATTCTCCAGTATGCCTCCAGTTTTAAGATATGAACATTAACTTTTATGAATGCTGCTTTTCTTAATAGTGTATATTTAATTTTCCCACATATAAATTCTTAGAAATAAAACATGATCAGTTGGTAAGAAAGACACAGAACAAAAAATATGATCTGGGTTCTCTGAGTGTCTCCTGATGAGCAAGGAGACCCTTGGGTCTGGTCCTGGGACACCTCACAGCGAGTCCCCCAGACACCTGCCTCCCTCCCACCCAGAGTGAGGAAACTGAAACACCTCCTGCCCTGAGGCCAGAGGAGACATTAGCCTGCGTGGACTTGCCAAAAAGAGAAAAAGGACAAAAAGCAATTGAACATATTGAGGAAGCACAAAATTAAATAGACTTAATAAACAAGCCAGTGAGAAGATTTTGAAAGTAGAAGAGAAATATAACAAACTACCAGCCATTTTTTCAGAAGAGGTCAGAACTAATTGCCAAGATCCTAAATTTTAGGGTAACAACTGAGTGGGAGGAGGATGAAGAGGCACCAGAGTGGAAGTGACAGAATCTGAAGATATTAAATCAGGTTACAGAGTAGATTTTATTTTGATGAAAATTCTTACTTTGAAAATAAAGTTCTGGCCAGAAGCGGTGGCTCACGCCTGTAATCCTAGCACTCTGGGAGGCCAAGGCAGGAGGATCACTCAAGGTCAGGAGTTCGAGACCAGCCTGAGCAAGAGTGAGACCTCGTCTCTACTAAAAATAGAAAGAAATTAGCTGGACAACTAAACATATATATATGTATTAAAAAATTAGCTGAGCATGGTGGTGCATGCCTGTAGTCCCAGCTACTTAAGAGGCTGAGGCAGGAAGATCGCTTGAGCCCAGGAGTTTGAAGTTGCTGTGAGCTAGGCTGATGCCACGGCACTCTAGCCCAGGCAACATAATGAGACTCTGTCTCAAAAAAAAAAAAAAAGACCCCGTCTCTACAAAAAACTTAGAAGTTAGCTGGGCATGGTGGCACATTCCCATAGTCCCAGAAATTCAGCAGGCTGAGGCCAGAGGATTGCTCGAGCCCAGGAATTCAACATTACAGTGAACTATGATGATGTCACTGCACTCTAGCCTGGGCAACAGAGCCAAACCCTGTCAAAAAAAAAAAAAACAAGAATAGAAAAACAATAAAGAATATCAACAAAATCAAAAGTTGCTTCTCTGAAAAGTTCAACATAATTCACAAACCTTTAGCTAGACTGAACAAGAAAAAGACGACTTGACTTACTAAAATCAGTAATGAAAAGTGGAATATATGACCAACCCTTACAAAAAAAGGATTATAAAAAAATATGAGCAACTGTATGACAACAAATTAGATAACCTAGATGAAATGAACACATTCCTATACAGACACAAAACACCTAAAGACAACTCAGGAATAGGCAGACAATCTAACACCTATAACAAATAAAGAGATTAATAATTTTAAAAAGTTCCAACAAAGAAAAGCTCAGAACCAGAAGGCTTCACAGGTGTATTTTAACCAAACATTTTAAGAGGAAACAGCACTAACCCTTCCTAAACTCTTCCCAAAAACAGAAGAGGGGATACACTTCCCAACTAGTTCTATGAAGCCAACATTCCCTGACACCAACTACAAAAAGACAATACAAAGAAAACTGCAGACTAACATAATACCTCTTATGAACACAGATGCAAAAATCCTCAACAAAATACTAGTAAACCCAATACCATAACCAGGTGGATTTAGTGTGGAAATGCAGAGCCAGTTCAGCATGTGGAAATCAGTGTAACACATCTCACTGATAAAGGCAAAAAACACATAATCATCTCAACAGATGGAGAAAAACCACTTGACAAAATCCAATACCCAAATGATAAAAACACTCAACAAACTAAGAATAAAAGGGAACTTCCTCAACTTGATAAAGGACATCTATGGAAAAGCCCACAGCTAACATCATACTTAATAGTGAAAGACTAAAAGATTTTCCCTCAAAAGAAATGAAAATAGGAGGTCAGTTCTCACCACTCCTATTCAACATTTTACTGGAGATTTTACTCAACGCAATTAGGCAAGGAAAAAAATAAGAGGTGTCCAGATTTGAAAGGAAGAAGTGAAACTATACCTATTCCCAAATAACACAATCTTATATTATAGAAAGTCCCAAGGAATCCACACACAAAAAAACTATTAGAGTTAAAAAACAAATTCAGCAAAGTTGCAAGATACAAAATCAATATACAAAGTCAACTGTACGTCTATACAACTGTAATCTAAAAGTGAAATTTAAAAACCAATTCCATTTACAATAGCATCGAAAAGAATAAAATGCTTATCTCTAAGAAGTACAAGACTTACACATGAAAACACTGTTAAAAAAGATTAAAAACCCAAATAAACAGGCAAGTATCCTGTGTTCATGGAGTGTTAGACTAATTATTAATATGGTAATACACTAAACTTATCTACATACTTAACATAATCCCTATCAGAGTTCTAAAGGCTTTTTTTGTAGATAGTGACAACACGACCCTAAAAATTCACATGAACATGCAAGGAACTCGTAAGAGCCTAAGAGCCTACACAATCCTGAAAGAGAAAAACAATTTGGACTCACACATTTCAAAATGTATTATACAGATACAATCATCAAGGCAAGGTGGCAGCGGCAAAAGGACAGATACACTGATCAATGGAGTAGGACTAAGAATCCAGAAATAAACCCTCCCACTTATGGTCAACTGATTTTCAACAAGAGTACCAAGAAGGTTCTATGGGGAAAGAACAATCTTTCCAACACATAGTGCTGAGGCAACTGTACAGCCACATGTGAAAGAGTGACTCTGGACCCCTACCTCACATCATACACAGAAACTAAGTCACAATGAATCAAAGACTGAAAGGTAAGAGCTAAAACTCTAAAACTTTTAGAAGAAAACATAAACTTCCTAACTTGGATTAGGCAATTAGATATGACAACAAAAATACAAGCAACCAAGCAAAAAAAATAGAAAAATTGGACTTCATCAAAAATTAAAAACTTTTATGCTTCAAAGGTGATACCATCAAGTAAATAAAAAGAAAAATAAGAAAGTGGAAAGACAACACACAGAATGGGAGAAAATATCTGCAAGAAGCAGATCAGTGGTTGCCAGGCACGGGGAGGGAGGATGAGGGAACCCTACAATGACGCCACTGCACTCTACCTGAGGC